ACCGAGAACCGGGATCATATATGCACGCCGTGTAACCCTACGTAGTTGCATGTGGACACTATTCGCATTGTTCGCCGAGATCCCGCGAGTCCCGTTCTGCGGCGCACTGTGCGCATGAAGGAGCTGGGGAAAGCACCACAGGGTGAGTATCTGGATCATACGACGAGCGGGACCACCGACAGCTACTGCCGAAAAAGGAGTTCTTGAAGGCGACAGGAGGTTGAAGCGGTGCGACTCATGGCAACAGTGCAGACCACACAACATGCGAGTGCAAAGGCAAGTGCTGAACAGCTTGATACTGATGTGCCAAGCCTGCAACGGCACCAGGTCGTCAGCGGCCCTCGGAAGCGTGAGCGTGCACTCCAATGCGGGAGTCGCAAACAGCCTAGCACTGCCACCGGCTCAGGACCACGCGCACCAAAGTGCAGAGTAAGTACGCACCACGCCTAATGCAGGTTGTGGCCGCCGAAATCTTCGCCGAGTATGGAAGCGGGCTACGGAGCAGGTAATTACAGTAGACAACAAGAGCGCTATCAGAAGCTTCATGCTGATCCCGGACACGCAGAGAAAGCCAGTCTACAGCGACCACCAGGAAAGTCTGGTCAGAAGCACTCGAAGCTACCACTACCCATGCCGACAAATTAATGGCCTTTCGGTAAACTTGTGTCAGCTCTTCCCACAATCCACAAGCTATAGAACCACAGTTGCCAGTTTTGTCCTTAGGTCTCAAAGCTTGCGACTCCCCGCCAAATGGTTGCCTCTTCCTGCGTTTCGTAACGCAACCTGTCTGCTTCGCGAGGTTCTTGCAGTCGTTGGAAGGGTGTGCCGGCAGTGAACGCTTTTGGGAAGGGTGCACAGTCGTTCTTCTGCCCCCCGACTCACCGACCGTGTGATCACCATCGGCAAGGTTGCCCTGGTGGCCCGCTGGCATACAGAAGGGACAGAGGGGTCTGCGTGGAGCAACCTCGCTTCTCAACTGAAGGCCTGCACAGCGAAGATCAACCAAAGGTATTGTTGTGTGAAGGGCGTGTTTTCAGTCTCCTTCACAACAGCACTACACGTGCCCCTTTCCCTTCCAGCAAGCCGCCAGAGCCTGAGCACAGTTCCGCGCAATTTGCCCCATACATCCAAGCTGGCAGCAAGTCGAGGAGGCAGTAACAATATTTGCTGATGCTGATGCTCGGTCGCGTATTGCTGCTGTCAAGTGATATGTGTAAAGTGTGAGATGTAGCTTGAGACCGTGCCATCGTTGCGAAGGTTCTGCGGCTGATGCTCGACCCAATTCCGTGCTGTACCTGCTTCAAGGCAGCATCAGTCGCCAAATAAATTTGGGCCGACAGGCCTGCGTGAACGGAATAGGACATAACAGAGGACAAGGAGTGCAGGAAATCTTGAGTCCACTAGCCTGGTTGGTGGAGCAATGTATTCACATGAATGAATCGGAATGAATGAAAGTAAAAACAAGTATACAGCTATGCCACCAGTACTTGCGGGCGGTGTTCCGGGCTGCGGACGACTCCTATTTGAGTGGAGAGTCCAAACTTCAAACAAAGTTAAAGTGCATGGGCCATGGCCATGCCCTGGTTGACGTAGCTCTGCTATGCTCTACTGACTATAAGTACTCGCTCGCTCGCCTCCACACATCTCCACGCTCACACACAATATCTGAATCTCCCTCACAAACTCTGCCTCCCTCATCCTCCCTCCCTCGCGCGTGGACGCAGGCAGGCAGACAGGCGGACAGCCAGGCACGCAGGCAGGCCGGCACACATGCTGAATTTGTTGCAAACCTTGCTGATTGCAAGAGGATCTCGTCATCTGCACACACTTGCAAGGCACGCAATGTCAGGAATCTCTTCGACGAGGTAGACGTGTACTTGCCCCTTGAGGGCGATAACTCATGTCAGCATCTCCAGGCCTGCCGAGAACATGCAATTTGTGCTGCACTGCAGGCTCAAATGCCCACATTCGCAGCCTTTGAAAGAAGTGGGGCTCGCGGTGACGTAGAACAGGAAGAGACAAAGATGTTCGTGGCTCCTGCATGGGATCGGCTGCTGCGGCTGTAGTTACTGTACTGTAGTTGACTCGTAGGGCTCTGCGGTGCGAGTGAAGGGCGCAGGTGTAGGGAAATTGCGCGGGGCGCCCAGTTGCAATTAATGCAGCTGCGTGTGATGTCATGGCCACAGGCGAACTGTCGCATCTCGGCAATGCATGTTCCCCTCTTCGTGCCTTTCGGCCTCAGAAATGCAGACTAATACCCAATCGGACGTTGAAGGTTCCAGCGTATGGCATGGCCCATGGCCCGGGCGGTGGTCCATCGTCGAACCACAAAGGCGATCCACGACCGAGGGTGCCCGCTTATTCAATTTGAGGATGGGGGATAACTGGATAACCTTACCCAAACTAAACATTCCCTAACACAAGCCGCCGGCGCCAATTGCCAACCGCCCCCGCTCTCACAAACAGAATTCCGAAAACGGAGCATGGCGTGACCCTCCGCGCCCTTCCGCTGGCTCCCAGGAGAGCGGCTCTGTGATGGAAGCAGATTTCCAGACCCAGCTCTGGCCTTCGCTTTGCGCTTTGCGACCGTGTGCTTGGAGTTCAGAGGAGGCAAACGCCTTGGATCAGTTCTTCGTGTTTGTAACGAACCCAAATTGCGGCTACAAGCCTTACACGGTCATAGCTCAAAACATCAAGGACCCTGCAGGGTCATCTCTGACTGAGAAGATTTCGGCACCTTCAGCGCCGCCAGCATCGCCTCCTCTTCCGACTCCTTGACCTGCCCGCTGTCGACATGTCAACACTCCCGACATGGAAAGCCTACGCACGCCTGGCGGTGATGTCGATGACGATGTCTGTGGACGTGATGATGTTCCATAATCAATGGCAAAGGAAGTGCAGCGTCAGATCTGTGTGCGTGCCTTCTCGCACTCTTCTCGGGCTGCCGAGCTGAAAGTTCATGAAACACATCCAGTGCAGATTTGTAGCCTTCGGGTTCCTCAATTCGGCCAAGCTGGTTTCCCTGGAATGCCTGTCTCGACTCCGGCATCACCCAGCTGGCTTTAAGGAGGCTGGAACCTTCTCGTGATGTAAGAATGCAGCCTTCCCGGGGCTCGCTGTTGCGAGGTTCTTCCTTGGCATCCTCTGTCTGTGCCACATCCGATGCTTCTGCACAGTCGTGTCTGTCGGAAGTCACCGTCGGACCAGCTGATCCTGCCTGCCAGCAGACATGCTCTTGACAGTTCATTTCCTGCAAATACTGGTAGGTCCTATAAGTTGACATGACTTCAGCGAAGCTGCCCGGTGCCTCGTTGGAATCAAGCCTGCACATAGTGTCACATGAATCTACTTGCCCGCTTCAGGGTCGCGGGATAAGTTTTGCAGTTTTAAAAGGTTTCTTGTGAGTGTGGCTTGTCCTTTTTCTTGCTGTCTGCACCGAAACGCTACTCCAGCCCTGGAATGGTGCCTACTTTGCATTGCGACGTCCTGCTATTCCCGCGATGCCGCGTCAATAGAAAAGTGCAAGTCATTGCAACAAGGCCAGTACATTGGGGAATCCCTTCAAAGGTCGTATCTCCGACTCGCGACTGTACGTTGACGTGGGGAAGCAGCGTCGGTGTGGCCATGGTGTCCAGACAATGCTGGAAATGACATGACAAGAGTGGAAGCATTGCGGGTACCTGTACAACGCTGAAACCCACTTATGCATGGGGTAACGACTGTGGGATTATGCCCATCATTTGGCGATGACAGTGGATCAAATTGTTTCTTAACCAAGAGTTAACCGCGCCCCCTCATTACGCGATGAATGGAAGTAGTATGTGCAATAGACATGGCAGAAAAATGCGGTAGTCAGGCGATGACAGTTGATCACATTCTTTCAGACCCGCCGCCCCCCACAACAGGTGATGAAATTGATCCCATTTCTCAAACTGCCCCCTCATCAGGCGATGGTGGTTGACCCCGTTTCTTCAACCTGCCGCCTCATCAGGCAATGGCGGCTGAGTCGGTTCCTTCAGCCCGCCTGCTCATTAGGCGATAGGGGTTGAATTCGGTTGATCTGATCCCATTTCTTGAACCCGTCTCCTAAAGAGGCAGTGGCGGTTCATGTAATCTCTTAACCCCTCAAAGCGCAGGCGACAGCGGTTGATCGCGTCGAGCGCCCGGTCCCTCATTTAACTTTCCCACCGTACTGAAGTTGTCATCCACCGTCCAGTGATTTGTCTGCAACACTTCTGCCTTGAGCTTTGATCTGCGTGCTGGATACAACCATCTTCTTGAGCCTGACGACTAGCACCTGGGACGCTTCTGCTTTCATGCGTGGTTCCGAAAGCTGCATGAAAGAAACAAGCGCTGAGCCGATCCAAGGTACCTGTTTGAGCTTCCGGAGGCTGCTTCGCATTGAGCTCATTGGTGCAATCGCTCTTTGCGAATATTGGCCTTGCGTCTCAACACGAGGCACGGCAGTGCCGAGATGTTGCGGCTGCGCAGGTGTCTGAGACACTGCTTGGCTTCGATGGCGTCGAAGCGCTCAGGGCCGTGCCACGTCTGCCTTCGCAGTATGCTGGACTGATCGTGACTGCATCTTTACAGCTCGCATCAATCTGCGGCGATGCCTAAACGTCACTTCGCGGTTCCAGGTCTTGTCAAGAATCCTTCCACGACAGTCACATCGAAAGGCAGGGTTTGAGAACGCCTTCACTTCGATTGTTGCCACTGACCAGTGCGGCCTGCAGCACCGGCATTTTGCCACATGACATGTTGGCAGTGCTTTTTGTGACTTAGCATCGGAAGCGTATCTCTCTACGCCTAAGGCTGGACGCTTGGACGCTCTGGCCGGCGGGCTGAAGGATTCATGCTGCGCTAGTTGCCCTCTTGCCAACGTTCGCTGGCACAATGCGGGCATAAGCACCGACCGCTTGGCCATCAATTCTATACAATGCAGAAACACCTTCAAACTACTGGCCGACGCTGCCGCCTCATGTAGCCGCACCATGTCAACGTGCTGCCCCGTCAATGTGCTTGGCCAATGGAGAGGACGAAGGTTGAGTTGCGTCTTTGCCAGCGTCTGTAGCCGGCCTGGCATCGAGTCCAATTCACCGAACAGGCCAGAGCTATCAAAAGCATTAGCCAAACGACAGCAGCTGAAGTGATTGACGAAGGTTCTTGATCAGGCCGCAACTCTCGCAACACGAGTCCCGAGGCTTCTCCGGCAACGAGAAGGGAGCACCACCAAAGCGGACCCTGCAATAGCAAAGAACCAATTCCATTCCGACCATTCCTGGGCAGTGGTGGTGGGGGCTCTACGGCAGCACGTTGGAGAGCACGAAGCGCCAGCAACAACAGAAAGAGAGTAACCCACTTCCGCTGAACAGCCAAGCTGAAAGCTTCCAGGGCAACAAGGACTGCATAAAACCAAGTTTTCCCAGGCCGCCAGGGACTGTCAACACTCCCGTCACGAGTGCGAGTGGCGACACGGTCGAGGCCGTCAAGCGGTGGGAGCATCATTCGATTGTGGCTGTCTTCTGTCCGCGACCTGTCCAGCATCTTTAAGATGCCGCAACAACAGCTGCATCGGTGTGGACTCGAAAATCGCGAATCAATTGCCCAGCGGAGAGCTCTGTCCAAGAGTCCCAGGGCCATCACCAAACTGTGAAGAGTGAATAGAACTAACGCTGGCTTCCGCGAGTAGCTTAGAAGTGCTAAAGGGCATGCAAGAAGGGCAAGCAACAAATGCAATGGGCCGTGTCGCGGATTGCAGAAACTCAGTCTGCAATGCCATGCCCTGTGAGCTAGCTCCATCGCCAAGCCGAGTGGAGCTGTAACCAAGCAGCCCAGCATGAGAGCTGCTTCCTTGCAACAGTCGGCCGGTCTGTACCAAAGAAGAAGCTGCAAAAGGGGCAGAAGTGCCACAAGGCACACAGGCAGGAAGTAGGCGAGGGGAAGGTCCCCATAGATCCACCGGCCACCGAGCAAAAGCACTGTAGCCAGGAGCTCTGCAACATGCCGGGCCAATCTCCAGGTGTCTGCCGTGTAGAACCGAGAGCCCACAGGATTCTGTGGGGCGTTACGAGTAGGTGGCAAGGATGCCAGGAGGACAGCCAGTGTGTGAAACAAGAAAACTGCAAGAAGCAGAGCCGCCATATTGGCCGAAATCCACCGCAGGCTAAGGAAATTGTCGGCTGGACATCTGATCTGCGGCTGTCTGCAAAAGTGAACCAGTAGCGTGCCCAAAGCAATGAAGCGCAAAGCCTCACTAAGAGTAAGGAGGAGCTGATGACCGAAGCATTTTGTCAACTGCCGCACCAAGACCCGCCAGCCAGGAGCGCAGTCCTGACCGCCGTACCTTAGCTCTGAGTCTCAGCCCATCAGCCCGCCCCAAGTGACGTCGCTTGACGCTGCTTCCCCCAAGGCCAAGGCACGGAGTGCGACAAACCGGACAAGCAGGAGCCTCATCGCTGGCGCGTGTGCCAGCCGTTCGATGGATCCATGCTTCGACGCAGGAAGCGTGGACGCCACCCATGGAGCCTCGACAGAGACACGGCCGAACCAAGGGCTCGCTCGTTCCCGCGTCGCGACAGATCCAGCATTCCAGCAGCTCTGTCCTGGCAAGAAAGCACAAAACTAGGAAGGATTCCTACGAAAGATGCCAGGGCTGCTACGGCTGCTAGTCTAAGCTGCCGTACAGGAATTAAAACCGACCGGACCCGGTCCTGGATTCCCACATCTGTCCCAATCCAATTCACATCAGACACACCCCTGCTTGGGTTTGAGCCCAGCTGTCTGCGAGAAATCGTGTCAAGGATACAGGTCTCCAGACCGGCTGAAGCATGAAGAAGAGAGGGCTTCATTGAGAAGTGGAGCCAAGCTGTGCCGAGCACATTGTCACAGCGTCACTGCTTCGTTACCAGACCCGGCCTCTTGACGCTCTTCATCGGATACAGTGCCATGCATGTTTTGGACATTTGCAGTGACCTCATTCATTTCACATCTTCTAGATGCCATCGTCTGACGCCACCCCCAATGCAGACATTCGACAGATAGTATGACGTGGCGAAGGAGGAAATGCATGGCAAGTCTTCGAATGTCTTACTCTCCGACTTGCACGGACCCAAAGCGAAGTGAGAAACTGAAGACCAACAGCAACGGCAGGCTCGACATATACGACAGCAACAACCATTGTTCTACCCCCAAGAAAAGCCAATGCCGGTGGCACTCCGAAACTAGGCAATTCTTTCCTTGCTTGAGAGGCGGGAAGGCCTGTGCATGCTGGCTGCTGCTTCGGATGCTAAAATTTGGCGACACGAGGGGTTTTGACCAGGAATGCTTTTAGGGCCCTGGTGCTTGTTCCTCCGCCCCTGCTTCTTATTATATTCGAGTCTGTCGTTTTGAACTGCTTTGCAGCTTCTCTCTGCTTGCTGTCCTGTCGTTTCTGAATTTTGACACTGACGCGGAGACCGCAGTGGTAAGGAGTAGGCTCTATCTCCTGCTGGACCGTCGGCTGACGCCTAGGCATCACGCTCACAGACATGAGCTCCCGGCCTGGCCTGGCCGACTACGCTTTCCCCAGTTTGCACACACGATCCTGACCTCCTGTCTTGTATGCCGGAGAGCGAGAAGCGCCCATCGAAAATAACCTGTCAATTGGCCGAGCCGGGGCTTCCAAGGCAGTGGAAGAGAAGTGCAAACTTGAAGAGACGTATTTCGCCCCGAATACGAACCGCCACTTAAGCCGCCAGCCTTTGCCTCTGTCCATGGCTCCCGCAAGTGCTCCCGCATGCTGCTCTACCGGATGAAACAGCCTCTTTTGAATTTCTTGAGCTCAGTACTCTGCCTGGGCAGGCTTCGATGCCCGTTAAAAACAGGCGGAGCGAGACCCGCATACGTTTTTTTATCTCGGCTGTTTACTTTCCACATCCCCGTCTGCAACGCATGGGCCAACTGTTTAAAAAGGAAATGGACGAGCCAGATTCGGACGACGCCGGCTTCTCCATGTCTGCGAATACCCACAACCGGCAAAGCGAATCTAAAGTATCCAGCAGACGACCTTAAGGGCTTGAGGTTATGATGTTAGTCTTACTGTTGCATTCGTGCGTATTTGGGGACACAGAGGCCCCAAGAAGTGAGCAAGACAAAGTACTCTCTAATCAAGACCGAGCACTGCAGTCAGTATTGCAGTATAACGTTATGCGTCTGGGTTTGTTGCTCGAGAAGCTGCGGCGGCTGCGTGCATCCTGCCAGTTGCTGGTGCTGTCGCACCCAGAAACAAAACGACAACAAAGGCGAACAACCAACGCACGAGGCAGTGTCGACACAAAACCCTGTGTGATCCAACGGGAAGTGTCTCCAGCCTAACACCCACATACGCAAACGTACGCAAAACCTGATATCCCAGCTGCGTGGACAAGAATCACCATCCACAGCTTCGGGCGTGACAATCGCATCACAAAGCTCCCGATTCCCGCGTGTATGTAGCGATTCACAGGTCAACTCTTATGTTTTGCAACGTACTTCCCGGACCAATCTGCCGGCTAGTCTGGCGTGAATATTGGGCTCATCCATCCATCTCATTGGCAAAGCCGGCCCGAACAACCATCGTACATCCGCCGCTTTGAAACTGACGGGCTTTGAAGTGCCAACCAGGAGACCAGGAGAACAAGAATGCTGAGCTCCAAAACCATTGAATCAAGACGTAGGGGGCTGGGTGTGGAATCGTGGAGAATAATAAAACCACGAGCGAGACAAGCGGGATGAGACGACTCCGGATGTGATCCCCTGTGGAGGGTTCCAAGCTCAGTGCTCCAGGACCGGGTGTGTCTTCGGCTCCGAGGGTCCAGTCCACAGAAGGCAAAACGGAACTTTGCTGAAATACGACTGGTCGAACAACAACAGACTTGCGGAACAGATTCGACAAAGCTAAGCCAAAAACATCTGTAACATGCCACGGGGCGTGACGACAATGAGTGCTTTGCCACTTTGTCGCGGAAGCAATGCAATGTTGGCACACAGCCACGCTTAAGGCTTCCGAGCACGTTGGACATTGGCTTTGCCAGTGCTTCAACTTCAATACTAATGCTAAATACTAAATAATGACTAGGGCTAGGATGACTAGGACTGGGGCAACCTCACTCAGGACCAGCTCGCTGCCGGACTTGGGGACTCTCCTCCGCTCTCGTTGTCCTGGAGCTGCCCAATAATGTAACAAATCCAACCTTGCAATTCGAGCAAAAGCTCGGCGCCGGCCTCAACGGTAGGTCCACCTCAGCGACAGTGCATACATGCGTAGATGCATGCGCAAGATTGCGCAAGTCAGTCCTAAGTATCCGGAGACATGTTTCGCTCGGGTACTCAACACTGAACTGAAAGCCTGCGCTCACACAGATCCGACGTGTCGCTGTTCCAAGTCGAGACTCTCGAATGTCCCTTGGCACCTACGGCGTGACCTACGGTACTTCACAACTTCCTTCAGGGCCGGCCGCGTCTGCAGACTTGAAACACTTGGGCAAGCTACGGAACCAACAACATGCTAGGCATTGCTAGGCTAAGTGCGGCCAGGTGTGTTTTAAGCTGTAGGCTGCATGCGGCTCTTGTCGGTAGTGAGAAAGAACTCCGTTCGTGGAAAACCCCGACTCCCGACTCGTGGTCGCTGTCTTCGCAAACGTTTCAGTTCCAAGGCTACGGTACCTACCTGAACGGCAAACTACACAGCCGCACGAAAATGCGCGGCCATGGAATGGCAGACCTAAAGGTACAGTATGACTCCGCCAATTCAAAGGCCGTTTGTGGCGGGAAGGTGGCGGGTTTTGAAACAATCCAGGACATGTCCATGTTCACATTGCCTGCAAATGCGAGCTATGGCCCACCGACTTGTATGAACAAGAAAGAAACACAGCACAATGCTCATTTTTGGCGCCACGGTTTCACACTGCGGAAAAACCATGATGATGATGATGATGATGATGATGATGATGATGATGATGAATTCTGTGTGCTGTAGCTGTAGCTGCTTTGTCTTTGTGCATTTCATTTACGAAATCATGGTTTGAACTTGTCCAACTGCAGATTTCAGAAGCTTGAGACGGCTTCAGGCTACACGCACGCTATCGGCACAAACAAACGGAGCTTTGCATGGCAGATGCAGTCTCTATCAGCTGAAGCATATTTCCCATCTAACCGCACGTCCCAAGTAGAATCGCTCCTTTCCCGAGATCCAGGTTTCTGCATGGCTGAGGTGATCGCTTGTGCGATGCTCGAGGAAGTCGCTGATATTCTGGCTTCGGTCTTCTATGACCTCATGCGCGGAGTGATGGCAGGGCTTTCGCAGAGAAAGTCTGAGAAGCTGGCGTTCAGCCGTACTTTGACAGTACAGTCTTTGTCTTCTTGTCTTCGCAGCTTTTGGTATTCCTTCAAGCACCACAAGCGTCGATTGTTCCGACCTGAGGCCGAGCATGAAATCACGGCTAAGACAAAGGAGGCAAAAACACGGTAATAAACAACGTCAGATGCTGGCTTATATATCGTGTTCTTTCCGCAACTTTCATCGCTTGTAGCACAAGGAAGTCGGTGCGCAGGGGATGGACCTTCACGGTCACGCATTTGTACTGCGTTGAGCGGGCGCTGGCAGACGAGCAATCTGCCTTGCCATCGAAGAGAGCGTCTACAGTCGTCTGCAGCTTCCGGCCGCAAGTGAATCTCTCTCCGATGCTATCTTGTGAGAACTCCACGTCGTCCACCGGGACCTCCTTTCGGTATTTTCGTTTCCTGCCAGAACACGACGCAAAACACTCACGAGGAGGACCATGCGTGTTTGACTCTGCCTCGGCCCTGGCGGCGAAGCCGGCGAGCTGGAGCACACACGAGGAATGCAAGGCAAGGGTGCAGGCAGCGTAGGCGGCCTGGGACGTTTCCGTGGAGCCGGCTTGGCTGCGGGCACCTCCGCACTCCTCCAATCCATAACTGCCACTCTGCTCACGAGGGCTGAGAAACGTGAAACGTGCCTCCTCTGTGCTTGTGGCCTGCACGGTTTTACGGCGCTGCAACTCTTCAGCTCGGACCATGCTCTACCCTCTCCTCGCCAAGAGCGCTGGTGCCACAGATGGTGCCACTAAGACGTCTAGCTTTCGCGCCGCCTGAACAGAAGCCAGGATTGCATCGGAACTAGTGTGTGTGTGTGTGCATGTCCATGATGTCCACGTGCCTGACGGGTCCATTTGGGATCTCTGAAACGGTCCTCCACATAGAGAACCTGCCCAAACTTTACTGCTGAAGCAGTCAGCTCTAGTCCTCAGCCCCGGCAGTCCCACCGTGTCCAGGAACTGATCTCGAAGCTTTTCTTTCATTTGGCTGCTCAACCTGCCCACGGTATGCATTTCATCTGCACCCAGGTGGCCTACACGCGACGTTCCGTCTCGGCCCAACACATGCGGAAAGCCCACGCAAAAGCATCATAGGCCTTGATCCAAGCACGACCCTGACTCTGAGTCATCTGCCTGAAGGCGTCTGGCTAATGCATGCTGGGCATGGCACCAGGGACAGCAGAACATAGAACGAGTCCTCAGGCAGGTATTGAAGTCAATGCAAGAAAGATTGACGTAGAGACCCGTGCAACGACAGGAACAGCTAAGATGCTTGCAGGCACCGATGTTGGCATAGTTTCTTCAATATCTGCAAGGGCACCTGTCACCGGTGACGCGGCTGCAGGACAACACATCCGAGAGTTGGTCTCGGCATCTCACGCACGTCAAGAAGCAGTTCACGGGCAGGGAGAGCAAACAACCTGTCCTGGCAGGAATGCTGCGCACATCTGCATGGAGATCGACTGAACATTTCCATGAGAAGAGCTTGTGAAGCTCCTGCAAATCCTCGCTTTCTGGATCGCCCTCCCTTTCAATGCTTAGCAACTCCTTGCAGCAAGATTTTGGCGAATCCATTGCCAAGTATCTCATGTGCCTTGTGGCGTGGCCTGAGGCTGTGACAAAAGTGCGCCTTGCCCGCCATCTCCAAGCCTCCGCTCGGCATGCTTTGTAAAGCAGCAACTAATCGTCCCTGCTGCAGATTGGGAATCCGGCCTCATCCAGCGGTTTATGCCCTGAGGGTGGGTTTCTAGCATATGCCTCATAGGCATTGTTTTCCTTGTCTCGTAGCCACTGGGGCACATGTCCAAGCTCCGTGTAATCGTGCTTCGGGACTCGACGTAGACGCGGCATTCGCTTCGGAACCTCAGCTGCTGTGCACATACGTGCAATGCAACAGTAACACTAAGAACAACAATAAAAGCACCGGAAAACCCCGCATGAGTACGCCTTGTTTATGCTAGTCAAGTTAAGGTGGTGGTGGCGGTGGTGGTTTATAGATTGTGTGTGTGTGCGCGTGGGTGCAAAGGTGTGTGTGCGTGTGGGTGGGTGTGTCTGTGTGTGTGTGTGGAAATCCTGTTTCTAAGGACATTTAGTTACAATGAGCGAAGTTTCTGACAT